TGGCGCTGTGTGATCTCGAGAGCGTTATACGAACTTTATGAGCTAATCGTGCAGTCTAATCGATTATCTAATACAAGTGTAGGATTGTTGAACACATCTTACATGGAACATCACTACGCACTGGATGGAAGTACACTGCATAAAAGCACGAAGTAGTTTTGCTAAATAAAAAGACGAAGCTGGGCTAACGGCGCGCCACGATTAACTAAGTGTCTTACGTTATGGCAGAATTTTTAATGATATAAAAATTCGTATCTTAGCAATAAAACCGAAGAGACTCTAATAGCGCGTCATATTATATTCGTAACATGTTCATGAAAATTCAATGGGCTGTAACGGCGTGGCTGTACCGTCATAAAGCTAGGTTGTGTAACAACGCTGCCATTAAGTGGCATTGCGGTCGTGAATCCTGTGCCACGATACGACAGACCCTTTTCGAATTAAATCATTGCAACCGGGCTTTCTCGATGCAAGAAAACGTATAATTACTCCCTCTATATAATTACATCATGAAGAATGACGCTGTCACGGTAGAATTCTACGTGATCGCGGAGCCTCGCCGAGGTTTTGCAAGTTAATGACATTCCGGGTAATCGATTATTCAGCATATCGCGGCACGTTCAATCAGGTGAAGTGACTCAACGATACACGGTGAAAATTATTAATCTCTTTACATGAAATTTTGTTTCTTGCTGGCTTTGATTTTATACATACATCACCGGTATTAAATTAATATTAGCATGTATAATCCAAACATGTGCGAGAAATTCGAAGCACGTGAAAAAATTCGAGTTGTACTTACTGCTAATGTGTCTAATCATTTTTGCATTTCAAAGGTAAATTCTTTTACAAATTGATGTTAATAACACTGCCACCTTTGTTTCACTCTTAATATCTATTTATTAATATACAACTAGCGTTATTAGTGACCTTTAGCCCTAAAATTCTTTTCAGGAATAATACTTTTCAATTTATAGAAATTAAGACGTTTCTCGATTTTGCAGCGGAGATTTGTTTCTTGACCCTTACTTCGCTTAATAGAGAAAGGCACGAGGTTTTCGTGTAACCATTAATTAAGATGTCTATCTGCACGTTGCAAAATATAGTCCGGCAATAGTAGGACGTCCGACAGATAGTATCTGGAAACTCGGCCAAATCTTTTCAAAGACGTCGCGCGGCGGCATAACGAAAGACATCGATTCGCCGTGGCGGCGCATACATACCGCCCCTCTGCAATTCCGGTTGAGCGTCGCGATGGAGGCAGGGATAATAAATATCGCTTCGCGATCCGTAGTTTCGCCGACGAGATACCGTATTGTGCAAACTATTCGCGCAGGCGTATCGAGCGAGCGCGCTCGCTGCGTGATCGACATTCCGAACCCGGGGCGAAATTGGGCCCGTGGATTATGCCATTAGCAGCGAGACAGATCTCGTATGCGATCTTTGATATCGCGAAACGTCGGAATGCATAGCAAACTCCTTATCACATTCGGCATATTCGACGTTGCAATTGTCATTAACGTTGCGATGCCATTGCACAAGCGAACTGCCAACTGTTACCGCACAGAAAGCGACCGCGAAACAAGCGCTTTTCGCGAAATAGCATATTACCAGCGAGGAGAACGGAAGTCTCGCATAGAAGAAACTTACTGCGCTGTAGACGGCAACTACCTTTGCACGCTCTTACCCCGGATACGCTGCGTCGCGACAAAAGAACAAGGATTGCGAGAGAGTCTAAGAGAGAATAGTGAATAAACATCGTAAATCATATGCGAAAAGCGACTTTTCGAGTTTGCACTTCTTGATTTAAGAGATACCTATTTGTGTAATCCGTATAAATTGTATAATCTTTTTTCCGTTTGATTTTATAAATTCCATTTTACCGCGTATAGATTCTCAAAGCACATTTCTCCGCTCTCCGTTCTTCCGCGCTCTGACGTAATTTGTCTTACTGTGATTATATCTCGCGTACTGTTGGCGTAATCTAGGTTACTTTGACTTATTCTGGATGAATCTGGCGTAACCTAGATCAGTTTAAATTGGATACGTATTATCTATTATCGACCTGATTCTACATAATACGCTCCATTCGTTTTTTATATAGATGTTTTTACCTTTTTTGGAAAAATCAATCATTAGTGACTTGAATAATGAATCTAACGTACTGTAAAATGCTATTCTTTAAAGACAAATAATGATAAAAAATGAAAAGACTACAAACGATTTTCAATATTTAATAAACGTTTCAGTTACGATTTCAAGCTTGATAAAAAATACAGAAAAAAAAGAAAATTTCAGATTGCATGGAAGTTTTAACATAAAAGATTACAAAAACTGAAACAAATAAGGCTATATCGCAATTTTATTTTTATAATATTAAATTATATAATATTAAATTTTATTAAATTTTATGAAAATCGCGAGTCTCCGAATAAACATCTTCATGCCTTTGAGGTAGGGATGCGCTAACTATTCTACTTGCTGCGCCCAAGTATTTCGATTCCTAGTTACAACTTCATTCCTCATAATAATGACATTTGAATTCTGAATATAATTATATAACTTCCCCCATCTATCTGCGAGCTACTACGATCGGGACGACCGAGATTCGCAGCCGCAGACTCGATCTAATTTCGCAGACAATACTATTCGACTCTGTGTAACGTGCTTATCGAATCGCGACTTTTCCACGTGTCTAAGTTATGACGCGGTGTGTCCTTATTGCGGTCGTCGAAGGAAATGTACGTGATAGAACACGTATCAGAGGGCTTATATTCCTCCCGGTTGGCGGATACGGAGTGCCGCACGCGAGAACACTAATCCTAGAATACACGTGTCACCGTTGTCTGTCACTTACGGAAAACGCACACGCAAGCGGACGGTATTTGAAAATGCGAGAGGAGCACGCGATAGAGCACGTTTTCTGTATGGCGGGGTTGCTCTAAGTAACATTTCTCCCGAAACTGTCTGGTACCTCTACAAAATTTGCCAACGCAGTGGCAAACTTCTGCCATAATGGACGGCGTTGCAATTTCTCACGACTATTGCCACGAAAGCGGATTAATTTACGTTCCTCGCACTCATTCGTTCCATTTGAGCGAATTATCAACTGGAGAACGAAAATTCCCATCACAGTGCAATTATCCTCTTTTTTTTTCTCTCTTTCTCTCTCTTTCTCTCTCTCTTTTTCAAAGTCCATGAAGCTGGTGCGTACTGCACTCGGTCACTCGTTCACCGAATTAACGCTCCATTATGTAAAGCGGCGAATTTCCGCCCACGGTTGGTATACGGCGTTTGCAATTACACAAAGTACACCGCATATCAACTAGATATTTCTTGCCATTATAAAACGCCATTTCGGATGTTGGCACGTTTATTCTGAAATACAGATTTTTAAATTTGCATGGGCGTGCATGCAAAGCGTGCGGGAGTGGGAAGCGAGAAACTCGCTATTTAAGTGTAACCTATTTTCCAGCACGCACACAATCAACGAATAATATATTAAGAGCCGGCAAGTATTTCGCTAGAACTCGATTATGAGGGCGGCAAAAAAATCTGTTTTTCTCATTTATTATATATCGCGCAGCGGCGCTGCAGCGATAAACGTACATGTGCAGGCGTACACAACAAAAATTCCAATTAAATTCTATTTAATATTAAAAAGAAATGTTTATACGTGACTATATACTTTCAATTAACAGCGCAATATCTGAATGAAAGTTTGTGAACTATAAAAGGTTTGGACGATATTGTCCCACCGTAATTACTCTGGGCAAAAATAAAAACAGCGGGGAATTGCCGATGCTGTTCCATTAATAGAGAGTGAATATATATTGCGTCACGAGTAAGAAACTTGGATGCTCTTTATTACGAAAACGTTAGGCTATGGGGCGACGGATAGGTAATTAAGGAAACCGTTAACTGCGAAATCCGATTTATCTGCGACGATTGGCTTCGAAGTTTCTCAGCGAGGCAAATGTTCGCGGAGTTTCAATCAGCCCTTCTCGGAACAGGTACTTTGCAGTCGTTACCCTAAGACGTTCAGAATGCGATTATAACAAATTCTTGGCTAAAAGTCGCCGAAGTACCCAAATCCGCTTTCGATGATAATAGCTGAAAGAAAATGGGGAGGGAAGAGGAAGGAATGGGGAGGAAGGAAAAAGGCGGCTTTTTACACCGCAGTACGCTGTAGTAGTACTGCTTCACACAGTAGCTTGTATTTCAAAGGCGTTGGGATTGCGATTTGCATGTAAAACGGAATGTTCTTCCTCTCGTATTTACGAGAGGATGATACTTCAATATTCCTTGTCGAGATATTCGATATTTTGCTAATATCCGTGCTTTCCGACGATTATGAAAGCTTTGTGCGGGAAAGCTTGAAGATAAGACCGCAATGATATTATAATTAGTATGTATTTCGCGTACATTTATTTAAATAAATGCAAGACAGTGCTATTGTGTGTGTGTGTGTGTGTGTGTGTGATTATCGTAGCATCGCGGATAAGTTTTTAAATAATATTTTTTTCAATTCTTCTTTTATTTTGTTTATTAAAATATTTCTTTGTTTTATATTTGCAGGTGAATATTGGGCCATGATTGAACGGAGCTGTGAACAGGTATGTGAAAATTTTGTTTGAATTCTTCAAAATATCTTAAAAACATACCGACGTGTAAAATACATGAAATGTAAAATATTAGTTGTTGCATACTATATTATTGTTATATAGTAATATTTGAGGCACTGTGACAATATGCCGCACGCATGTTGTTTACTTTTCCATTTCCGTTGAAAAAATTGAAATGCAATTCTCTTTTATGACGTTATATGCTCGCATTGCCGTCAATGTAAACCGCTCAACGTGACGGGCACCATTTGTCCTGGTGGAATATTTCCGTTCTTTGGCAAAATGTAATTTCCTTGCGGCGAATGCTACGCGCTTTAGAAAAAAGAAATATCGAATGTGAATAATTCAAATGTCATTTCTCAGTCGGATTTGTCGGTTCGGTGCCCGCCAGACAATATATCCGATAAAGTGCCGAAAGCAATCGCCGTCAACGATTCGGCGTTAAAAAAAGCTTATTTATGGCACATCCATCACACACAATATCCGGCCTAACTTTGATTGTCATCCCGGCACCCTTATATTGTCACAGTCTCCTGTCGTGACTCGCGACGATGATCTATCTACCTTCCGGATTGTTAGCTAGTTAACTAGAAACTTCCTCTTCTTTTCGCGGAAATATTTCCATTTTGTGCCAAGAGATATATTCTGTCTATCCTGCAAAATTATTCCTTGCAATACGTTTTGATGGTACCGCGCATCAACAAAACAACCATGTGCTAGTGATTTAATTAAATTGTCTGTTTTCCGGCTGCATGTAATTGAAATGTAACTTTTAGAACGTCAATGTGCAATGTACATTGTATATTTGTGTACGTAGAAATATATTCTCCACGGCAGTGAGAGAAAATATCGTTGAAACGAGCGGCTACATTTGTACAGAATAACTATTAGCTCGCGCTTCGACGCTCCTTTTATTTTATGATTTTGTTTATATTTGAAATTTGTATTTCTAAATAGTCATAACGATTTAATATTAAAATCACGGCTTAATATTAAAAATATAAGCAATCAAACGTTCTGCCATAGCATTGTTTCTCATTGAAACATTTTTACAATTTTGATTATATATTTTAATTGAAGGTAAACAAACTCTACATTACATGCTTCGAAATTTTTCTATTATACTCGCATGATTATACTCGCAATCGATAAAACGAGCTTGTAAATTGAGCCGAAATTTTCGGTCTGGATTCATTAATCAATAAATGGTCAAATATCTCGTTATTGCTGTGAATAGAGCACATTGGAATTAAATTACCTATATGATCGCATATCGATTAACAAATCAAAAGCGGGTTATAAATCCATGTTGGCGTGCGCAAGAGTGCTGTTATATGGAAAAGCTCATTTATATTATAATTGCAATACCGCAATCGTAATAATGACTCGAAAATATTCATTTTTTGAGATACAATACAATTAACAGTGCACAAGATTTTCACATCACTTTGTGCATATTTCACGTTACATAAAATACCGTAAATAAAATCATATATAAGTTTTCGCTATTGTTAACACTTTTTGCTCGGTTTTGTGTTTTCCTTATTTTCCGCGAATGCTGGAATATACAAGAAATGCAAGAACTCCGCGCGAAATCTATTTATGCGAAGGGGGATATCTATGAATATTTTCCGCACACGAAAAACCGCATTGTCCCGCTGGTGGCCCGAAGGAGCCTGCCCGCACGCTAATGGCAGCGATTATCGTGAAAGCGTTGGCTTGGCTGTTACGTTTCTTGCTGGAAAGAGTTGTTGTTAATACTTTGGCCGATCCCGCGATGATAACCCAATTTGCCGTCCGGTACGCGGCGAATACGGCTTCGCTTCGTAAAGACTTGCTTGGCGGTAAACAATGTCGAAAGCTGTTTTCGCGGGGTCAAGAAGGGTCGGCGAGCGTCAGCTCGCTAGGCACGCGCTCGAGAAAGTCACGTTTTTGCACACGAGTGGAGTGTGACACACACGCACGTTCGCGCATACACACACATAGCTGCTATAAAAAGCTCGTTACAGCGCCACTTGTTGTCACAACCTCCCCGAACTCTTTCGACGGCTCTATTATAACGAAAAGTTCATCTCGCGGACACTTCTTTTCGCTCGTGAGGCTGAAGAGAATACCGTCGAGGGGGTCGATGGCTGGCGGCGGCTTTTGTCCTCGGCGGGAGACGTAAAATTGCGTCCCTCCGTTCGATATACATTCGCTGAGGCATGGAATCTGCCGGGTAGCCCCTACTGTGCGACAAAGATAAGCCGAGAACTTTGCAAACACCAGCGAGTCAATAGGATGTATTCTCTCTTTTGCACTATTTTATCTCCTTTCTCTTCATTGCGTATAAGTTTTTTTTTTTTTTAACAATGATTACTTCACAATTTATAACTCGGCGAGGCAAAAACGTTAAGATTAATCGTCACGATCGGTACGTATGCTGGCGTAGGCGACATTGTTAAAGAATAAAAGCCAGCCACGGTCGAAAAAAAGACGAACGATACGAGGTGCTGTATGACGTCGGCCCAATTATAGCCAGATTGCTATCGCGTTTTTTGAAATCGACACTTTGCGCAACGCCCATCGTGATGGAACCTCCAACGTCCCCATACTCGCCTGTTTTTTTTTTTTTTTATTTTTTATCATCCACTTTGTCGGCCCGCGTAGATAGGCAGCCTCTGGTATTGAATTCTGGAGATGCGAAATGCCGCTGAAACGATTGCACCCGCCGCGGTGCGTTCCATTTCGCGTGAATATCGAATAGCAGACAGTGAGAGCAGTCGACTTCTCGATCGCGAGTTATTGTCTGCTACGAACGCCTTTTGAGTCTCATCGAAATTTCTTCCCGGACCTTCTATCTACGTCTTCGTAATGCGAATCGCGTTTAGACTCGCGTCGACGACGGTATTATATGTTGTTCGATCAGCGCGCTGCTTATTCCGACTGTCATGAGTAAATAAACAATAGAAAAATGCATTTGTTCGTTATCGTGACACATTACTTATTTATGTCATAAATAATAAGGCACTTTCGTATTGACAAACTTGTCACTCAATTCTGTTGGTTAAACTAAACGTTACCAGCGATAAGCACACGCGCGAAACAATGAAATAGAGTTAACCAACAACTGTTAGCTATATTAAGGAGTGTTTGACAGAATACATACCTGGTCCAATAAAGTTGTAAATTTAGATCGAAATTCTTTTGTCGACCAATTTTGGTTGGCAACCACAGTGCAAATAACTCGCACGCTAGTATCAACCGCGAAACATCCTGAACCACCTTTTGTTTAACGGTAATATTCCGATCAATTTTAATCAATAAAATTGACGATGATGAAAAGTGTCAATATATATATTTTTACATGATTTTCGCACGCATTATTTTTCGCGATGTGCGCACAATGAGACATCTTTTGTTCTAATCATATTTAAAAGCTGAAAAATTGAAATATCGCGGCGTTGGAACATTAATGTTGCAGTGTTTCGCTCGATATTTTACTCATGGGCAAATCTCATTATCGTCAGTACGGCGACGCGTACGTACGTACGCGACAGCGTGCAAAACAACGTTTCGCATTCCGCATGTAATAATTCTCTCATAAAAAGCGATTTCAGCGGCATAGACGTATAAACTTGGCTCGCGTGCCCTGCATTATTAATACGCTCTGGATGTAACATCAACTGACAAAATCACGCACAAAATGCAAATTAGGTATTACTCATTCCGTGGCATGTAAATCCATAAACAGTGGCGTGTTGCGGAATCGGAGGGAACGAGCGACAAAACGAGGGCGAAGAAAAAAGGACGAATGTAGGGTGCGATCCGCAAAAAAGGAATGCATGAAATTTATTAACATTCACCCAGATAGGCGCTGAGGTGTTATCGAATTTGTCACAAATGTACCACTTTTTATTCGTGACTCGTGACCTCGTCAAAGGAGTCTGGCCGAAGAGGGATCGGCCGGATCGGATTATTTCTTTTCTTTTTCATAGCGCGAGCCTCTTTCGCGCGCGGCGGCATATATTGCCGCCGTATAATATCTTTTGACCAGAGATTACGTAACTATGATCGATCGACTGCGTCCTTACCGCCTTCCGCAAGGTGGAAAAGAAGTATCGCGTGCCTTCAGGAGCCAATATTTCAGGAACGGGCTGTAATTCAAAGGCTGTTGGCAACGGCAATGTACGTTAAGCGACATGTTTTAAGAGTCTCCGGATATTTCTCAATCTATTCGCAAGATTTATCTCAAAGTTTTTCCCCCGAAATTTAACATTGAACTTACAACCGCCGCGGTTGTTAATATTGAGAGCATGTGAATCGTATATATTTTATTGCAGCGGGAGCATCTTCGTCGTGAAATATTTACAGATTCTCGAATGCTCCCTTTTATCTTTTTCGCGTATCTGCGTTTTTTTTTTATATCACTATACTTATTTCGCATTACGAACGCGTATCGTTAAATCTTTCTGGTTTACTGCGACGTGAGATAGTCCGCGCGGGTGCTAAACAAAAATTGTGTCATCTTGTGAGATGGAGAAAATACTCCCTTGCTGCCGCAGCAACTGAGCTAAGACGGCCGGGTACATCTACAAGAATTGCGGTGCTTTACTTCAACAGACCGCACCGCGCACTTTTGAACAACGCGCTGCAGAAGTGACCTGAAAATGTGTGCGAAAATACGTCCTGCGTAAAGTAAAGACAGAAATTTATATTTACACAGGTTTTATAACATGCCGGCGGGAAGCAGCGTTAGTCGAATAACAATGGCTAGCTCGCTAACAGCGGCTTAAAAGACTCACGTCGACGTCGTCTTAACACGCTCGTACTAACCCGTAAAAATACGACGTTTCCGCTGCGAACCTACAGCAGCGCGCAACGCAACACTTTTGGTTCAGCGGTATGCATCGCGGGCGTACGATGGCAATAATCGTATTTAGAGTTACGATAAGAAGTAGCGAACTCGCATCCGTAGGCCCTCACATTTTTTTGCGCGCATTCACTTGAGC